CAACCCAAAAAACCCACCAAACTATTTGAATATAATCACTATTTCTTCACATTTTAGTTTTGGCAGTGATTTAGTTTTTAATGCCTAGCTTTCAGTGTAATATTTCCAAGTTCGGTTCAATCGGTGACCAGGGAGCCGGAGAGTCAGCTGACCTGACCTTGATCTTCCCTGTGGAGGCTGCGAGTGAAAGAGGCATCAATAAACTAGGACTACATACAATATAGGAAAGTTTAGATTCACATTGTTGCAATAATATTTAGGCAACAACACTACAAGGCAGAGAGCATTCTGAGTTAGGCAAGGTCATCTCTAACAGCAGATACAAGTTTACTGACGCTCCGTGTTTACAGTTTAAGTAGAAAAAAAAAATTATATAAATTTTGGAAAAATTTTCCTTTTTGAAATCCGAGTTTCAAATTTAAAAAGGTGGCACCCTTTCATGGTAAAGAACAATTAAAAAAACGTCTTAAGTTGTCACTAATGACTTTATTAAAGGTTAAAACAGATCAGAAGGAAGTTATTACAATGCGTAAAGTGAATTGAATTTTGGATTTCAGTATTTTAGTGAAGCTTCCCTTTGGTTTATCTACAGTATATTCTGTATGACAGATCTTAAAAAACCTTCTATAATTACCTGCAAACATTTAAACATAAAGCAAATTTATTTGAATTTATTTGTCCACTTGGGGGCAGTAGAAACAAGATTTGAACACAACATTGATATCATTGTTAGTGAGCAAACCGTTGCATATTTACACATCCAGCAGACCCAGAAAGACATTATCAATCATTTGGAGTCATGTTTCTGACCACCTGATGACTGTAAGCCCAATATGAACCCTCATGTTGGCTCAGTTTGAGTCTCCACCGACTCCTGAGGGAAATATCAGGCCCTTAAGCTGCTAAATGCTCCACTGTGTTGCTAGCTGCTAATTGCATCTGTCTGCTGTTTGTTGCTGGACAGGTGGTGTATAGTCGGGTTTTGGAGACTTTTCCTGACATATAATCTGGCTAGAAAAGAGGCTGGTGAGACCCGAGAGAGTGAACCATAACAGTAAAAATTGTTGGCATTTATCGTGTGTTCATCCAAACGTGAAGTGAGCATTTCACATGGCGCCATAACATACAAAGTCAATGCAAAGACTTGAACTTGAAGAGATGCAATTTTTCGCTGGGTGACGTGAATGACGCAAAGATGCAAAATCCGTGCTATTTGTGTAATAGCACAAGTTGAAATATCTGAATTTGAAGCCTATTAGCGTTGAGATCTGGTTGAGATGCTCCTGACCTCACCGAGAATCAGAAATAGAGGTCAAATAATGCTGTCTGTGGGCACCAAGCCCCCAGGAGAGCTGCTCAGCCTTGCTCCCAATTTTTCCCAGTGGCCACTCGCGGTATTACAGTGATAAAATCCCCTGCAGCCCAAAAAGCTTTGTCCCCAAAGGCCACCATTATAAAGAGATGTCTGTAAAACTGTTGACGCTGCAAACACGTTCAATTATGACTCTAATTTTTAAACCGTGGTGGTTTTATATTTGTTAAACTGTCTTCTAGCTGAGAAAAACAATTTAAAAATCTGTGACGTCGTCACAAAGTCTACGAGCAGAGCTGGGACTTGTAGGCGGGGCAAGTGGGAGAAACATATTCAGTAGGCCACATACCAGGGAAGTAAACCCGAAATTAGAATTTCTTTTTTGGCATATGCACCAGGCGAGCCATTACATTGAAATCAATAGGCACCATCTTGGCCTGGTATGTAGTTAGTGTTATAAATCTACGGTGGGCACCCAGAGCTCTACAACCAACATCAGTACAGTACAGAGACAGAGCAAAAAAGGAGAGTCACAGGACTACACAATAAGTTCTGTAAATTTGTGACTTGTGTGAGGTATTTTGTAGAGTCACTTCTTTGCAAAAAGCTGCGTCGTTAAAGTTGGTCTTTCATTGTGGAATGTAAACAGCGGAAGTGAAGCGGTGACAGTATGAAAAATAGAGTTTTGCTGTGTTGGTTCACGCTGGTTTGAAGAACGGAGCTTATATGTTCACCATGTTCACATTACTTGATTCCAACTATCAGTTGTATTTTACGCAAACTAAGTTACCTGTTAGCTGCCTTTCCCAGTTAGCTAGCAAAACTGTTAGCATAGTTGTTAAGGGCGGCAGTTGCGAAATACTCCAAAAAAACTAAAAACAAAACAGTCCAGCAGCTGTATTCCCACGAGTTAGAGACGTGAAAATTGCTGACTAAGTTAGTCATTAGCTGCCCTTCCCAGTAAGCTAGCACAACCATTAGCACAGCTGTTGAGGGTGAATATTTGCCAGTTACGAAATACTCAAAAAAACAAACACAAAAAAAGGTCCAGCAGCTGTATTCCGAAAAATTGCAAACTAAGTTAGTCGTTAGCTACCTTTCACAGTTAGTTAGAACAACCATTAGTACAATTGTTAAGGGTGCCAGTTGCAAAATACTCCCAAAAAACAGTCCAGCAGCTGTATTCCTGCGACTTAGAAACAAGAAAATTCACCTTGTGTTCAATTAACGCACCATTACATCAAAACAATGAGCTAAAAGACACTTAAACGCTCCATAGACTGGATAGGAAATTGAGGTGGATGCTAATTTTCGGGGGTTTGTCAGTATGAACTGCACCCTTCACATTACATGTAGTAATTTATCCCATTGTTACTATAAAATAGTCATAAGTGTACCTTTAAAAGCCATATTGTTTTATATTGATACATTGCAAACTAACCAAAGGGATACTTCACTAAAATTGGCAACACAATTAGTGCATAGCAGCTTAATCCTGAACTTTCATGCATTCTTTAATTATTCATTAACTTTAATGAAGTCATTAGTGCCAACATATAAATCCTCTCTACATAAAGGTTATTTTAAAGTGGTACCAAGATGAGTGTTGTTTTTCTAAGAGCAAATTATGTTTGCTTATGCGCCAAAAAGACTTTTTAAGAGCAAGTGCCAGGATTCAAATGTTATTAATTTTGGAATGAAATGATGTCAAACTACCTGATAATCATTCACTGATAATCGGGAATAATTAAACTCAGCCCCCGTGTGGAGGCTATCAGTCAGTCAGTCTGTCTGTAAAGCCCTTACTGGTTGTCAGCAACACGAGTGAAGAAAAAGTACAGGTTTCAAGAGGGGTGCTTTCACGAGCCCACTGGCTGTTTGCTTTTTATAGGTTGTTTGCACAAAAAAGTTGAAGGGAAGTATCCAGACTGGCTTAGAAATGACCTCACTGGACCATTTCTTCAGTCTAGTTAAAGCCAAATAACACTGAAGTGATTATACTACAGCAACATCTGCGTGTGCCTTAAAACTGCACATGTAAACTAAATTCAATACATTCAAATATTTGGCAATACGAATTATCAATCAACACCAAACAAACTGAGCGTCTGTTGGGTGGTGACTGACGAGCTGTTAGCCAAACAGTGAGTGAACAAACAAGCAAACCCTTCAGAGTGAAACCTTCATGTAACAGGTGCTGTCGGACAGAAAAATGAGCCGAGTTTGAGACGTGCTGCTGATATCATGACTGTAACACTGTAACATCAAAACGGGAAAATGTGATTTCAACCAGAAACAGCATTTAAATCAAGACATTGGCATTAACACTTTTTAAAAAACCTAATACTTTACTGGAGATGGAGAGTGTTACAATGTAGGTGACACAAGGCTTTAAAAAACTGCTTTCAGAGGAATCACGATTTGATTTGAATTTCAATCAAATTATGTCAAGAAAATTGAATTCAATTAAGTGATTCTGTTTTGGTTTTTTCTTCAAAGTGTTTTGATATTTGCGGGAAAAATCCGCATTCGCCTTGTGCCAGGCCACAAAGTAACCAGGCCGACCACGGCAGCTTTTGCAGCCCTAATCTGTTACCCAATGATATCGATAATGACCACACCATCAACACATAGTGCCAACACACACACACACACACACACACACACACACACACACACACACCAACTGCATGCCCTCTGTCACACGGTAGAAAAAGTATTCCTCCTAATTTAGTGATTTTTTTTTCTCAAAGTTTCTGACCACGTTACATTAAATTCACCACATACACGCACACTTGTTACCAGTTACTGTACACTCACTAATCACCTCACGACAGCCTAGAGAAAGCTTTAAGCAGACCTGTGCCAAAATAACTCAACATCAACCCAAATACATCTGTTATTTCCTGATAAAATGGTGGTTATTAAAGGGACAGTTCGCCCCAAAATCATAAATACATATTTTTCCTGTTACCTGCAGTGCAATTCATCAGTCCAGATTGTTTTGGTGTGAGTTGCTAAGTGTTGGAGATATCAGCCGTAGAGATTTCTGCCCTCTCTTGAATGTAATGGAACTAGATGGCACTCAGCTTGCGGTGCTCAAAGTGCCAAAAATACAATCTTAAGAGCAATGTAGTGTTGTCAAAAACATCGATTTAACATATTTCAGGACTCATTTCTTGCCAGCCGCACATTCTTGCTCTCACCTTCCCCTCCTCACACTTTTACTTACTGCTTACTTATGTATCACAGCGCAGAAGGAAGTGTGCATCTACTCATGGATGAGAGGCTCGTGCTTGTGACAGACATCAGTGTCGTCCTCCTGGGCTGAGCTCAATAATGCTAGGTGAGTCAGTAGTACATGCTTCATTCCTGCATTGTAATGCGGTTAACAGGTGTAGTTTGGTAGAAAGAAAATAGTTCCTACATGAAACTGCTCACGACAAGGTCTGTGGATTATCTTGAGTAACCAGGTCATGATTTCTGGAAAGAGACATTGCTGTTGAGTTTTTTACATGTATTTTTTGGCGCTTTGAGCACCACAAGCTGAGTGCCATCTAGTTCCATTATACTGGAGAGAAGGCAGACATCTCTACGGCTGATATCTCCAACACTCTGCAGCTCACACCAAAACAATCTAGACTGATAAATATCACTACAGGTAAGAAGAAAAATATGTCTTTATGATTTTAGGGTGAGCTGTCCCTTTAAGGAGTCTGATAAGAAAAGGAAAATGCTTAAAAAAAATTGTTTTTTCAACAGGTCTGCTGTTTTCACTGAAGAGAAAGCTGCCAATCTGTTGCCAATAAAGAAAAAAATTATCTAGGGGACAACTGGCAAACAACATTGTGCTTTATTGCAGGACTTTAACTCCCATTTCTGTGGTGTATTGAAAAGCAGTTTTTATTCATTATATTCCCATCAACGCTGCCGAGTTTAGGACCGTTTAAATATGCATTTGTTTGTTGTTGCATGTTTGCTTGGGTTAATCGATTTTTTTTTACCAGCTGTACTCTGCAAACACCCAGATGTGTCTTCTGAAGTGCATAGCAAATAAGGAGATAAAGAAAACTGCACGTTACAGTAGCCCCTGCCCTGAAATCTTGGAACTCTTCACAAAAACGTACACTATGCATCACAAAACAGCGTTAAAGGGAAGGTATTACTATTTTTCACGAGAGCACAATTTAAAAAAAAAAGACGCTTCCCCTTTATATATATAGATATATATATTCTTTTTTGTTTTTTGAAAGGAATCATTAGGCATTAGAGACCCAAATGACTTATTGTGGTACAGAAAAAATATTTTAAATTATATGGAAGCCCTTGAAATAAAATCAATAAATAATGGGCCTGTTTTGACGGGCGTCTGTTGAAGAAACTCATCACATGCAAGCCTTTTATTTGACTGCATTTTGTGAGCAGAGGAGACTTTTCTTTGTGTTTTCACTGGCTCATGCAAACACTGAAGCCCTGTTACAGTACTTTTTTTTGTTTTGTTTTTAATTCTGAGTTACTGTTTTCCGGCACATGAGTGGTGTATCTGTTAGTTCAGAGCATGCATGTGTGGATCGGGTGGTGAGGTGAGTGGGACCTTGTAGGGATTGAAAGTTGAGGGTCTGACTTTAAGGGCTTGAAATCGGTTAGCTGTTGCATGCTATTGCATTCCATAGAACGGAAACGTAAATGGCAGTTAGCTAATAAACTTGTGCTGTAAGCCCCCTGTAAACACACACACACACACACACACGCACACATACTGTACATTCACGTGTGCATGCACACTCGCCACACACACAAAAAAAGGGGCATTAAAGTGACTAGTAACAACGCTGCACCCCTACAACACCCTCCTCCCTCTCTTCCTCTTCCTCCTCTCCAAAGAGAAATAAGACGACTGTAGCCAAAATGAAACTACATAAAGAAAATAGTCCAGCCACTCGACGTCTTCTTTCAGATCTGCAGGTTCTGTGAGGCGGGGTCTTTGCACGAAGGTGTTTCAGGATCGAGGGGAGTTGAAGGTTTAGTCAGGGTCAGAGGAGCTGGCCGGTGCTCACCCCTAGGAGGGGGGCTTGCTGTAGCCGAAAAGTCCGACAGGCAGGTATTTGACATGAGTGGGCCACTGGGCGGCCAGCTGGAAGAACTTAACCTCGTTCCACTCCACACCGTCTATGGACACTGGTAGGAAACAGAAATAAGACGTTAAAAATTCAGCTGAATAACAGATTGATGAAATAAAACTAAAGTAAGCAACCTCTGGGGCTGAAAAATGAAGCCAACGCCTAAGTGCCAAAAACTGCAGTTCATTTAATGACCACTTGGGGCTGACTCCAAGAGCAAGTCAATCCCCATAGACCCCCATGTTAAAATGCCCAACCTTACAGGTGTAATAAACATGTTCACAGCCAAGTGCAAAAAACGATTTTGGTCTCTTCAGCTAATTTCAACATTCATGCCAACCTGTTTAAATGTTATTAAGGCTTAAATTTACAAATAATTAAGGGCTTGGCACCTTGAGTGACAGGTGGGCACAGCAACCGCGGAGACAATGTTGGTTAGGTAACCACGGTGTAACCCCAGATTCACAGAGTATAGGCATAGGCATACTGTAGTTGCTGCTATTTCAGTGTGTTTTCAGATCATAAAAGTTAGCTATAACTTTGTTGTCGCCTAAAAAAATCTTGCCCAGGGTTTGGTTGACCCTCTTAGAAGACGAACATTTGTTTTTTTTGAAAGTACGTTTTGTTTTAACTGTTTTAAGACTGTTTCTCGCAAGTGACAGTTAGCATTGTGTGTAACACACTGTGCTAACCAAGCTAGCAGCTAGCGTTAGCATTAGCTCCACCCGATTGTCCAAATATGGTCACTTCTGGTTCCAAAAATCCAAGATGGCAACGGCAAAAATGCCAGACTTGACCAGTCGCACTGTGAACACAAGTAGCAAGATCTTGGAAGTTCAGCGGAGTACGCTATCTGTCCTGTTTCATAAACAGATAGTACGGAAGGCTAAAGCCATCCTTTCCGACATTATGTTCCCCTCTCCTCCCCCCGACTGTTGAGTTCTTACATTCTTATATGTTCCCTCGTGTCTTTTTTATGTATGTTTTTACTTGCTGTGCAACTAATTGCCTTCTAGGGACAAAACAAAGTTAAAGTTGAGGCTTCAAAACAGGAGTCCACAAACCAATGGGTGATGTCACTGTGGCTACATCCATTATTTTTGTACAGATGACGAATCTAACAAAGACATATTGAGGAAACAGAGACAACGAACCGTCCTAATTTTTCAGATTACCTTTCAGGATGGTCTGTTGCTGCTTGGCAGAGCAGATGAGTCGGCTGATGCCTTCAATGACCTGGCTTTTTGAGTCTACATCCTTCTCCTTTGGCTTCTTTCCCAGGAAGATGGTTGGAACTGAAGAGAGGTAGAGAGAGAAATTGTAGAAATACTTGGACCTTGAACATGAAATGAATAATTCCTCTATCATTTGATTCCTCAACTAACCTTTCTTGTTCTTCTCCTTGGTGACCACGGTCATGGCCATGGTGCTGACCTGTGCCTGTGGATCGCTGCTGCCCCCGCCTGGTAGCCTGCTGACCTGCAGTGAGCGGAAGGCGCTCTTCAGCGTGTTTTTGCAACCTGTGTCGCGCCGCTCGCCCTCCCGCCGCTTCTCAGCCAGAGAGGCCAGCCAGTAGTCGACCTGCAGGCCAATGGCGTCCACACCGTGAGACATGCTGGGACTCCTGCGGACAGAAAATGTTTATGAATGTATTTTAAAACAACAAACTAGAGGATCACTTGGAACTGCTGAAACCACAGTTCCCACTTTCAGCAGCACTTAGAGAGACGTTTACTTCAGTCTTAGGCTCCAAATGAACAACTTTAAGACGGAAATATAAAATTAGAAGACGTTCTGCTGAGCAGGCAACCTCAGCAGCACCTGATCTGCCCCAGTTCATTTAAATTCAAAACTGCTTAAAAAAAAAAGATGAACTGTGATAGTTGAATGCTTGCACTAAATGTCTTCTGTAGAGGGTGAAATAGAAAGATTATATTAGACACTGCTGCAGTCTGTCAGGCTCTCAGAGATGGACTGCAGCAGCAAGCAGAGCAAAAATCACCTGAATCAAACAGATGAAAACACAACTGAAGTCCCGTTTGTCTGGAAACTGGTTCCCAGTTAAGCTAAACTGGTTGACAAAACTGGTGCCGGAAGCAAAATACACAACTCCTTGCTTACAGAACAAACATAGATGGATAGTTTAAAGGTGTTAAAAGCTGTGTTACAACTCAGTGTTGACAGTAACATCAATATTTTAGACAGGAATATTCGACTTCTCACTGTACCACTGTTACCTGACAGCTACCTTTTTACAATATGAAGCATAAATTGTGAATAACTGTACCCAACATTGTGTGATGCAGTCACTGAGCGCTACCTGCTTACACATGAACAATTAAGATAATTTAAAAAGATACATGGCTAATTTTTAACCAGTTCTGTATCATAACAATGCAGGCAGTATGTATAAAAGAACCATGGTACTTCCCTCCATCTTACCAGCGCCCAGATCTCCCTGCTCAAATCTCAAATTTTGCATCATTCGAGGGATTTTTCGCCGGCTCTATGGCTGTTGCTTGAACTGTACTTCCTTAGTTTCATCATGGAGGTTAAAAAGGGGAGAAGTAATGGCATCATATCTCGTCACATCCTTGGGGTATAACACACAGTGAAATCTGGTCTGCAGCTAATGAAAGGCTCAAACGCTGGTTCAATATCATAGAACGTAGGAATGATTGATTTGTTGACTAAGGCGTTGTCAGTCAGCCTTGGGTCAGAATATATTTACGTACTTATATATTGCATTGTGTTTTTTGTCTACTGATGCACTATCGCTCTGCTGTGTAATGTTGCAAATTTCCCAACTGTGGGATGAATAAAGGATTATCATCTTGTCTTGTCTTACATTTTAGACCAAAAATTAAGATTTAGGTGAGAATTACAATTATTTAATCATTGAAAAGGTCCTTATAAAAGACAATAAACAAATGCTATCTATATGAAAATGTTCTATTGTAAATCGTCCTGTGTTTTAGGAGAAAGAGTATAGAAACGGATCAAGAGAGTGCCCTGCCCCCTTTTCTGTCTCTCTCAAACTCAGACCAGACTCAAACTGTAAATCTATGCAGCGCTTATCAAATATTAACCAAGATTCTGTTACTGTATCTCTACTAAAAAGTCTTCAAAATCATATTTTAGTGCTATGTTTGGCTGTATTACGAGAATTTGTGAACAGACAGTGGGTGTCATCCTGCTGATTGTAAAAACGGAGGCTGAGAATATTGAGATGAAACGGTAAAACTAGGCAGTGCTGATTAAAAATAAACCAAGATTCTGTTAATGTATCATCTACTAAAATGTCTTCAGAAACATATTTTAGTGCACTGGCTGTAGTGCGAGACTTTGTGAACACAAAGTGGGTGCCATACTGTTTCCGATATTGTAAGAACTGAGGCTGAAAATACTGAGATGAAATCATAAAACTAAGAAGTGCTGATCAAATATAAACCAAGATTCTGTTACTGCGTTGCCTAATTTTCACTTCACGTTTTCAGTAACATATTTAGGCTAACTGTTTAACTGTGATTGCATACTTTTTTATACAGTTTTACACTGATAATACTTCTTAATCTTTTTTTATACTTTTTATTTTTGAACATTTTTTACGTTTAAGAACAAAAGAAAAAAAGAAAAATGAAAAGCAGTACACAGGAAAGAAAAAGAAATATAAATGTGAGATCAAGAGATGTTTAGGAGGGATACAGGACTCTTATACAAAATGGTGATTCAGAGAGGAAAGGCAGATGGGGATAAAAAAACAGAAAAGGAGAAAGAAAGTAGGACGTCAGAATTACCCTTGTACTGTCAGGACGCTGCCCATGGAGGGGGAGGAGGGAGGCGTGGCTGCCTCTTTAATCATCCCTGTGGGCGAGCCGTGGGAGGGCGGAGACGTGGAGGGGACGGCCAAGCTCACCGCCACACCCTCTTCTGTGTCTCCTTGAAAACCACAAAACAAAATGAATATCATGGCATGAGCAGATAAATCAGTGTGTGACATGTGTTTCCAAACACTCACCTGTTGGAGAAGGACCAGACTCGATAAGACCGACCTTCACTACCTGGAGAACAAGAGTAAAGTGTCAGCAAAATATCGAAATGTTTAGCAATAATCTATCAATTCAGATTTTCTTTGGCAGTCTAATGCAACAGGAGCAAATCTTACCCCTATGAAAGGAATAAACTTCTGGTAGGAGTCTTCATCTCGCCTGAAAAGAGAGAAAGGACAGAGAATATTAAAGAAAACATAAAGATTAAATGCTGTGGTTTGTGTGTGTTTGGCGTCTTCACTCACGTCCTGTGTTTGCAGGTGAGCATGGCCTCAGCGATTGGCAGCTGGTGCGTGACCGTGGCTCCGCTGATGTACTGGGAGATTCTTGCTGCGACATCCAACTGATCTGGAGACGACAGGGAGAAATTTGTGCTTGTGTTGAGCAATTATCACCCACAGGGGTGTCGTGTTTATCTGTGTGTCAGGTTTGTACCTGTCTGTGGTGGCTCAGAGCGGCTGAACACGTCTCTCCATGCTCCATCCAGGAAGGAGGAGCTGTAGCGGTTGTCGAGGGCACCAAGGTGCTTGGCAACCGGGTGGGAGCCTGATAAGGAAGATGGAATAAAAGTGAAGGGAATGGAAAAGAAAAAGTGGGCAAAACTGGGCAACAAAAAGAAACAATTGCCTCTATGAACTGCTCAAGTATCCCTTACAGTTTACATCCATGTCTGTGAAAACATGGCTGCTTTACACAAATTTTAAAAAGTTCCCTCAAGGTGTTCGTGAGATAACACATTACCCAGAATGAGTCAGATGCAAGGTCACAGTGACTGTGACCTTTAAGTCATGGATTAAATGATTAGAATTTGGTGGTCGAAGGTCAAAGTGGACATTTGGGCCAAATTCTAAAAAAATCAGGTGTTCTTGAGATAACACGTTAATGAGAATGAGACAGATGCAAGGTCACAGTGACCTTGACCTTTGACCTCCAACCACCAAAATCTAATCAGTCCATCTATAACTCATAGTGGACATTTGGGCAAAATTGAAAGAAACTCTCTCAAGGTGTTCTTGAGTTAACACATCAATGAGAATGAGACAGATGCAAGGTCACAGTGACCTTGACCTTTGACATTCTACCACCAAATTATAATCAGTCCATCTGTAACTCAAAGTGGAAATTTGGGCCGTACTGAAAGAAACTGTTTTAAGGTGTTCTTCAGTTAACACGTTAATCAGAACGAGAGCAGATGCAAGGTCACAGTGACCTTGACCTTTAAGTCATAAATGAAATGATTAGAATTTGGTGGTCAAAAGACAAAGAAGACATTTGGGCCAAATTTTAAAAAGTTTCCTCAAAGTGTTCTTGAGATGACACATTGATGAGAATGAGACACATGCAAGGTCACAGTGCCCTTGACCCTAAAGTCATGGATGAAATGATTGGTGGTCGAAGGTCAAAGTGGACATTTGGGCCAAATTTTAAAACATTCCCTTAAGGTGTTTTTGGGGTAACACGTTAATCAGAATGAGACAGATGCAAGGTCACAGTGACCTTGACATTTGACCACCAAAATCCAATCAGCTAATCGTGGAGTCCAAGTAGACATTGGTGCCAAATTTGAAGAAATACCCTAAAGACGTTCTTGAGACACCATGTTCAAGAGAATGGGACGCACTGATGTACAGATGGACGGACAACCCAAAAACATATTGCCTCCAGGAGTGACTATCGTTGGCGTGGAGGCATAAAAGAAACAAAAGAATTTTAAAAAAAAAGAAAAAAAAGGGAACTTAAACAGAAAATAAAGAGGTGTAATTTTGGTGCTTCACTTGAGCCAATCAACTTCTAAGATCTTGAGACAATGCGGCGAGATACAGTATTCCCAAAATACAATGCGGGTGCACACAAGTGTCTGTGTGTGAAGGAAGACCAGAGGTTTGTCACTCCCCAGACAGCTTCCCCCCCAAAATAATAAACCCTGCTGCAGCATGACTCTGCAAGAGTTTCTTTGTCACCATGGAAACACGAGCGGACTCTCTTACCCAGAGGCACAACCAGGAAGCGCATATGGTTGAGCCAGTCTGACGTCTTGTTGGCGAGCTGAGTGACAAAGAACTGCAGGATGGCTCCCAGGTAACTCTGGCTGCCCACCGCCGCCACCTTCACCGCTCTGGGCATGGACGAGTTGCAGTTACAGCTGCAGGGACAGACAGGGAGACAGTGAGGAGGGGTGTTATCAGCACGGTGCTGGAGGTGGATCCGCTGGACTTTGATCACACTGTCTCATCCATCAAAGCCTTTGGAAAACAGATTACAGTAAACAGTGGAGACAAGAACACAAATCACACAACAAACTGACCTGCTGCAAAACCCTCAGCAGAGAAAATTCAAATGGTAAGACATCTAAAACTAAATATCTTTCCTTATATATGAAATTACAAAAGCATTATGGATTCACTGAAGAAATCTGCTCATGTTTTTCTTAATAATGAGATAATAATCTTGTTAATTCAGAAAAAATGAATTTACAAGACTTTTATATCGTTTATTAGGAGGAGAGAAGCAGAATTTCTTTTACATGGAAACTTTTCTCGTAATTCCGAGACAACAATTTTGTTAAATCAGAAAAAAATGACTTTATGGGATTATTTTGTGAATTCAGAAGATTAAGAGCAGAATTTTTGTTCTAAGAAAACTTTACTCAGATTTCTGAGACAATCTTGTCATTCAGAAAAACAAGGACAGATTTTTTCCCATGAATTTTTTCCCCACATAAATCTAATATAATACTTCTGTTAATTAGAAAAAATAGCAGATTTTTACATGATTTTTAATTTTTAGCAGTAATAATCCTGTTAATTTAAAAAAAAAAAGAGAGAGAGAATTTATGAGATACTGTCTTGTGAATTCAGAAAAACAGCACAATTTTTAAATTGAAACCTTTTCATGGAATCATCATAAACCCACCAGGGGAATGAAACTGAATCAATCACACCTAGACATCAAAACAGACGAACATTTCCTTACTCATTTCATCTTAAAAAAAAATAAAAAAATTTAAAAAAAATCAGAAAACATGTAACATCCCAATTTCCCAAAACCAAATTGAACGTCTCTAAATTCTTATTATTATTTTATTTTTATTTTTTTGTTTGTCTTACCAATTGCCCAAAACCCAAAGATATTCCATTCAAAGTCATAAAACAGTGGAAATGAGCAAATCATTACAATAAATAAGATTTAAAAAATTCACATTTTTGGCATTTATTCCGATAAAGTAATGGATTATAAAACTTTTGGTGCTGACGTTTCTGTCAGTCACCTAATCTATTTTCAGAGTGTGTGTTTAACCAGTAAATTAGAGATAAATATAACCAGAGTTCCAGGTTTTATGACCCTGACCGAAAAACTTTTCTGTATAAAAATAAAACACATGGACATTAATGTGGAAAAATAGGGAGTGCTACACTGGGTTAAGGCACTATGTAGTTAGCTGTAAAAAAAAAAAAAAAATCAGGTCCTCTTCAAGAATGGGGCAAACAGTCACATTAAGAAAATGGTACAGGCACACCAACAACGCATCTGGCTGTAGTTAAAAATCCTTTATTAATACATGGAAATTAATTATTAGAAAAAAATATTATCAGAGTTCAAGGTTTTATGATCCTGATCTTTATCCCCCTTTATATGCCTTAGCAAAGTGCAGTGAAGTAAACTCAAACTGAATATTGTCTGAGAAGAGAGAAAGAGAGGGTGAAGGGATGGAGCAAGAAAAAACAGGTTGAGGAGAAGAAAAGGGAGGGATATATAAAACATTGTTTGGGCATAAAGAGAAGTAAAGTTCTAGATGTGGAGTCGTGAAGGCGAAGCCGAGGAGGAGGAGGGTGAAATGTGGAGGATGGAGGAGAAGAAGAGAAAGGGGTCAAAAAGAGGACAGGAAACAGAAAAATAAGGCTCAGAGCGGGAAAAAGACTAAGAGGATGAGTCATCCTGCAAACTAAGGCACGCTATAACTCAGATAATGTGCATTTCTCTCCGTGTGTGTGTGTGTGTGTGTGTGTGTGTGTGTGTGAATGTTGGCTTGTCACAAAAGCACTCACAATTTCTGGATGCGAGTGAGCACAGCAGACAGCACCGCCTGGATTTCAGCCGACGAACACGTGCAGACCACCGGGTGTCTTTGTACCTGGAGCTGCTCTGCAACATACTGCAACACACACACACACACACACACACACACACACACACACACACACACACACACACACAAACAAGGGTGAGATGCATGATGAAAAACACCATACAAATGTTGCTGGCTTTACACACACACACAGACTTACCTGCCCCTGCCAGTCAGTGCCATTGACCAAGATTAGACTCTCTGGGAGCGCCGAGTCCGACAACAAAATCTGGTTCAGTTGGTCGTACACTGCCTTCCTCAGGAGCTACACACACACATACACACATGCTGAGTACATAAATCCCCCTACAGCGCCACATTTACTCTTCAGATGACTCATCAGCACATACATAATTCATATCTGAGCTCCCGGCGAGCCATAGATTATCAGGGCACATTTGTGTTCTTTAGCAGAGGAGTAGAGGAGACTAAGAACAAAGTGTAAATCTCTGTGTTAGAACACTGCAACATAAAGATTTTTGTCTGCGTGCAAGGTTAAAATGAAGCTTCGGGAAGGATGCTAACTCACTGGCGTGCTGTGTCCCAGCTCCGGGGATCTCTCTGAGTCAGAGCTGTTGGTCCGTTCACTCAGAGGTTTGGACAGCTGTCGCTCCTTCATGGGAGTGCTGATGCGCTTCTGTCTGGGCGTGTGGCCGCCGTCCAACCTGGGGGGAAAAACGGGGGATGGCACGGTTGAAAAACAAATGACATCATGTATCTGAAACATTCACATTTAAATACAAGGAAGAGGCTAAACAGTATTTTATCCTCTGAGTGCTGCTGGAATCCTGAAACACAGACATAAGTTGGCATTTTTGCACAACCAAAGCCCTCGTCTTGAAGTTAATGGGTTGTTTGGTTAGATGCCTGATTTTCACGTTTTGTTTTACAACATAAAACATGTCTGTAAACACCCCACTTGTGAATTTTGAAGCTTTTACATTTCTTAAAAAAGACTAAAGGACTGTTCTTTATTTATCAGAGAAGGGGCGCGGCTAGGATGTGACTTTATTTTTTATTTTTTTTTGTATTTTGCTCCTCCGAAACTGCAAATATTTTTACTTGAGTCTCCCTGAGGGACCGGGGGAAAATGCATGACCCTTCCTCCACCATGAATTAGGTAATCAAATTTTAAAAAACGTACCCTCTGATGTTTGAAAGTTTCAAGTTAAAATTTGAAGACGAAATCCCTGAGTTAAAAAAAGTTGGTGCAAACTGTTTATTTTTGGCCAATTTCAAGTGAGACATGTAAAATAAAGCAATTTTGATGACATATAAGTATTTAAAGCTCAGATTTAGTTACTTTTTTTTCTGACAGAAGCATTCTTCGCATATGATGTGGCCAAGGACCATCAGAAATTTGGAAATCCAAGGATAATTTCTGTTTTTACAGTTTCTGGTCTTGATAAATGGTGTAATTTTGGCAGGTTTGGAGGACATGTTTTCTTTAAAAATTGGCGGTAAACTAAACACAAAATACAGCCATCCCCTAAGCCAAAATAAAAAACTCAAGTCCCTCCCTGGGGCTTACATTTTTTTTTTGACATGCCTCCCCCTTTTTGCACCACCCTCTCCCCCCTCATAAATAATGAACACTCCCTAACAAGCCACTAAGTGAGGCTACAGCCTTGTTGTGGTGGCAATGCTGAAGACGTGACTGTGGTGTAGTTTGTTCCTTCTGGCGATTGCATTTATGCTTCAAAAATCTTCAGTGGTGTCCGTTTGTGAAGATTATCTTGCTGAACAAAATGTGTAAAATAAACTTTTGTTTGCCACACTTTAAACAATCATCCAAAATCCCGTTGAATTTTGTCGAGGGAACCAGGGTGACACAACACACAAGATACAAAGTCACACTTAAAAATCTCAGAGAAAATAAGGTGTGGGGGTTACAACAATAAAAAATAAGGGGTGGATTTGTTACCTTGGCGATGGCATTGCCTGGGTTTCACTTTTGCTGCTCTTCAGAGGCGTACGGGGTTTCTCTGCCACCGACACCATGATGCAGGGGCCCACCTCAGCAAACAGCTCCTGATCTGTTAGCTCCTACACACACACACACACACACACACACACACACACACACACACACACAATGACAGACTGTCAGTGTCAGTGAAACGAGATACTGGCAATCCTAAAGCCATCTTCTCTGACGCTTCATCACTTTTTTGTTTCACCCTTTCTTCTGTTCTCTCCGTCTCTCTCAATCTGTCTCACTAACTGCACAGATGGCAGCGAATCCCCCCTCGGAGTGATATTAACAAAGACACATCATTTATTCTCTCTCCTACACACACACACACACACACAAACTATAAGAGTCATACCAGCGTGTCGGTCTCAGACAGGGCCTCCTCCAGGTTGCGGCTGCGGGAGAGTTTCATCTTCTCTATAGGGGGCTGCTCCCCCTGCTGGAAGGACAAGGGAGCGACAGTCAGTCTACAGACTAAAAGATACACTCGACAGGATTTTCCTTAAAAAACAATGTATGGATTTATACAAAAGTAATCCCTCTCAGTCATCACTTATGACCCAGGAGAGGTGTGTGGTAGTGTATTTATCTGCAGGGACTCTGCCCTCTGCCTGTATTTCCTTATTTTCTTTTTATTTTGCTTTGTTCAAAACGTTCCAAAGATCAACTTTTTGGCAGTGGTGTGTAACCCCCTGATGATGATGGTGCGTAGGTGAGGTCATGACTTTACAAAAAGGTGGCAAGTATATCTGGCAGCACACCTTATAGCCCTCCTGTTCCTCATGGCCCTCCACCAACTTATCTCCGCTGGCATCTAAGCTAATGGTAGCACTTTAGTATAACATGCTAAGCTAACGTTAGCTAACAACTGTGGGATTCAGTTTGAACACACTCAGCGAACATTAGCTAGCCATCGTGGACTTCAGTTTAACACAACCCATCTTCGCTATCATCTCAGCTAACGTTAGCTAGCCACACCTGCCCTACTCTCCCTCTGATTGGCTTGTATTTATTGCATTAGTTGGTTGGCTTGGTTAGGTTAAGGCAAGAGGAGTGAGATTGGTTAGTGTAAGAATGTCAGGGTAACCCAATCAGAGGCAGAGTAATGCAGGATTTATAATCGACACCGTACCTATGGCATACGCTCTTCATTGACACTGAGGCTATGCCATACCCTACACCCTACCCCATGCCGTAGCCTGACGTGCACCGCCCCAGATATGTAACTACACATCGCAGCAAGGCAGACCGCCTGTCTATTTCTGTAAGCTGAAACCATTTCCTTCAGCGGAAACAAAGCTTTTATTTACTTTCATTTCACAGACAATAAACAATAAATTATGAAGACAATAAAGTCTCCAAGTCTTGTGTGTGATTTATCCTGGCTTCATACGAGCAGAGGAAATCTCCGCTCGTCACTATGCTAATTTATACAATGTAAAATGCCATAGGCTTGTGCTAATAACGTTAGCATGTTATATTTGTTTGTAAAACGTGTTTAGTATAAGACAGTTGTTTTGTTGTTGAATTTTGTGAGTTGTAATGGAGTTTAATTTTTTTATGTTACCTTTGTTAAATGTTGCTGTTGTCCCTGGCTTCATATGAGTAGAGGAAAAGTCCGCTAGCTGCTAGGCTAATTTATACAATGTAAAATGCCATAGGCTTGTGCTAAAAACATTAGCATGTTGTATTTGTGGGGAAAATGTGTCCAGATAAAGACAAGTGTTTGTCTGTGAATGCTGCGAGTTATAGTGAAGCTGATTTGTGTACTTGTGTTTGACATTGTCTCTATTAAGCCATGTTTAATGTGAGGTTTGAATCAACTGAACAACTAGTGGTTTGGAGGTGCAGACTGCACCTCTGCAACTGCAACGGCAGAGCGACAGAGACACACCACTGCACAAGTATAAATGCTCACAACGGCATAGGCTAAAGGCCCATTTATGCTCCCTTTACGTACGAAAATGTATCCGTTTCAAAAGATGTTACCGTCACTGCCCACATACTTCCATGCGCCCTTTACGTTGGCATGGATGTTAACCAATATATCCACCAGG